CTCTCGCTCTCTCTCTCTCTCTCTCTCTCTCTCTCTCCCTCTCTCTCTCTCTCTCTCTCTCTCTTATCTCTCTCTCTCTCTCTCCCTCTCTCTCTCTCTCTCTCTCTCCTTCTCTCTCTCCTCTCTCTCTCTCTCTCTCACTCGCTCTGTCTCCCTCTCTCGCTTTCTCTCTCGCTCTCTCTCTCTCTCTCTCTCTCTCTCTCTCTCTCTCTCTCTCTCTCTCTCTCTCTCTCTCTCTCTCTCTCTCTCTTCTCTTTCTCCTCTCTCGCTCTCTCTCCCTCTCTCGCTCTCTCTCTCTCTCTCTCTCTCTCTCTCTCTCTCCTCTCTCTCTCTCTCTCTCTCTCTCTCTCTCTCTCTCTCTCTCTCTCTCCCTCTCTCTCTCTCTCTCGCTCTCTCTCTCTCTCTCTCTCTCTCTCTCTCTCTCTCTCTCTCTCTCTCTCTCTCTCTCTCTCTCTCTCCCTCTCTCTCTCTCTCTCTCTCTCTCTCTCTCTCTCTCTCTCTCTCTCTCTCTCTCTCTCTCTCTCTCTCTCTCTCTTACTCGCTCTGTCTCCCTCTCTCGCTTTCTCCTCTCGCTCTCTCTCTCTCTCTCTCTCTCTCTCTCTCTCTCTCTCTCTCTCTCTCTCTCTCTCTCTCTCTCTCTCTCTCTCTCTCTCTCTCTCCCTCTCTCTCTCTCTCTCTCTCTCTCTCTCTCTCTCCCTCCCTCTCTCCCTCTCTCTCCTCTCTCTCTCTCTCTCTCTCTCTCTCTCTCTCTCTCTCTCTCTCTCTTTCTCTCTCTCTCCCTCTATCTCTGTCTATCTTTCTCTCTCTCTCTTTCTCTCTCTCTCTCTCTCTCTCTCTCTCTCTCTCTCTCTCTCTCTCTCTCTCTCTCTCTCTCTCTCTCTCTCTCTCTCAAGCGGTCCGTGCATTTCTGGAACCTTATTACATATTAGGCACTTGTCGGCAAGGAAGGAATATACCAAGAATCTACCCACCTACTGCCACTCTAGTGCCGGCTCTAAGACCGCAAAATAGTCAGCCGGGGAGAGGGACTCATGAGGTGAGTCTATTGGCGGATCCTCTACCTGGGCCGCCTCGTTCACCTTCTTGAGGTAGGACGAGGCCTGGGCCCGCTGGAGGGTGCAGGACCAGCGCTGTCGGAACTGGTGCAGTAGCTTAGCTGCCTGATAAGTGGCGGGCGCTGCATTGAAGAGCTTCCAAGCGGCCGCCTCTGCTAGGAGCTTGAGGAAGGCCAGCACTTCCCAGCACGGGCAGCCGTACGTCTCGACTGCCAAAGGGAAGAAACCCACATTGGTCGCCCGATTTTTGTAGTGGTCGATTTTCTTATCTGCGAGCTCGCGTGCTGCATGTCCACGGCCCTTGCGGGCTGTGGGGTCCCGGCTTCCGATTGGGTCCGTTACAGTGACGTCGCAGATCCATACTGCGGCCGTCCCACGGTCTCGGATGGCGAGGTCCGCCTTGTGGCCATCGACGGGGCAGAAGATGGTGGTCTCCTTGTAGACGATGAACCCCGCATCCTGGCCCATGCGTATGCACTCATCCCGCAACCCATTGTGTGTGTCGGTCCGCCCGTGTCCGGTGCCGCAGCGAAAGAGTTGGTTTGGGAGCCGCGGGTCCGTGATCTCGGTGCGGTGCACGCAGTCACAACGTCGGGGCGTGGAGAAGGGGAGGCCAAGGCGGAAGGCCAGGGCTATGGAGAAGTGTGCGGGTGCGAGGCGCAGTGATGGGGACAGTGGGATCGCTTGTAGCCAGTCTCCTGCTCCATAGCCCGAGAGGGAGAGCATCCGCTGGGTGTGACCCATGTATGGGTTGGGGACCATCCCGAGGGTCTCCGCTACCTGGTTGGCGTATCGCTGGGCCTGCACCTCCAGTGCCAACCGGTGCTGTAGGGGCTTGTCTGTGGGCTCCAGTCGCTCATTCTGGAGCAGCAAGCGTGCGGGTGGTGGGAGGGCCGCTTTCGCCTCGGACAGCCACGCGTGGTAGGGCGAGGGGCCTGTGAATGGTGGCGCGAGCTGGGCAGCGGCCAGCGCTAGTGGGGTGTCTTACGCGTGTCGGAGGGAGGTCAGAAGGGCGTGGGTGTGGTGCGCACTGGTAAGGAAGGAATAATTCCCTTCCACCAGTGGGTCAGTGATGCCGAGCCCCCCTAGGGACGGGGGTAAAGATGCCTGCGCCCATGTGCGGGCCAGCTCCTGCTCCCCCCGGGGCGGGCGCAGACCGCACGCCTGGAGAAGGGCATGGAACATGCTCTGCCCCCAAGCCGACCATTCTTCTGCGGGGAGGAGCTGCAGAGGGGTCATCCGGATAAGGTATGACACGCGCTTGCTGATGCAGCGGGATAGGAGGAGGGCGCTGGTTTGGGGGTCCATGTCGGAGAGAAGCGCAAGCGGGGAGGTGAGAGAAGCCATGCGAGTCCGGAGGAATGCCGCTGCGCTGTTGTCTGGTCCGACGTGGCTGCCGAGTACTTGCAGCCCTTCCCCATTGAAAGGGATGTTTGGGGGGAGTT